GCTAAATTCTTAAATGTAGGGGGTCTGGGTAATTATTATTTGGTAGACATATAAGGCCAAATGTGTCTGAAATGATAAAAGGTTATGGGCAAAATAGGGTCAAAATTAAGATTACATCGGTAATCTTATATTAACACCCCTTGGGAAGGTAATCTGATTACCCCAAATATTACCAACAGTAAACACTATTTGCAATAAAAGATTACGTAATATTTTATTACTTGACAACCAAACGAGAGAATCTTGAAAATTAAACAAAGATTATGGGATTAATCTTATATCACCCCGAACCAAACGCAACCTAAGGAGGTTATAACTTAATGGAGGTGTAGTTACAAAAATTATAATTTTGATTTCTTATTTTTTAATTCATGTTTTAGCAGTACAATATTAGGATTTCAATTCATATTTTAGTAGTATTATGATTTCAATTTAGCGCTTCAACTACCTACTTTTGAAATGGATAGAACACCGTGTCTTGGAACCAGCTAAGATAAGTGTCATTGATAGAACTATAAATACAGTTGATGCATGATCAATTGATGTGAAGCCACAGACAATTGTCAATGGTTTTAAGCATTGCAAAATTAGGACCCCGATTTCGATGAATTGCAAGTTACAAATGAAGTGGACGAGGAAAATAAAAAAGTCATTGTAAAATTGAGTGATCAGATTCGACAAGAAAATAAAAGAGTCATTGCAAAATTGAGTGATCATATTAGACAAGAAAATAAAAGAGTCATTGCAAAATTGAGTGATCAGATTCGACAAGAAAATAAAAAAGTCATTGCAAAATTGAGTGATCAGATTCAACAATTTCACTACACTAATCGAATGGATATTAATGTCTTCCTCGATCATTCAAATGAGCAACAAATCATGTATGCTTTAACCAAAGAAGAAATCATTGTTACAGTTAGATAAGAAGATAAAGGAAACAACAAATCATGTATACAAAAAGTTTTGTGCCATGAAGCTCTAAACATGCTTGAAAAGCTAAAAATATTTTGGTTTTAACAAAGAGGTATCCATAACTCTAAAATATAAATAATTATCCCAAACAACTTTAGATAAATATTTTATTTCATCTTAAATCTTTAATGTAACATAACATATATTTTTTGGTAATATACAGATAATTATTACTATGAAGGCAACTTTCCTTAAGATGGGAATTAGAAAAATTATAACTTATTACAATGTGGACTTTATTCTTATTTATAAATATCTCAAATTGTGACTAGAACTTTTTATGACTATGTAAAGTTTATTCCTATATAGAATATCACTATAGAGAGATTTTACTTTTTTGACGGGATGTCTAGGCTAGCTTGCACGCACTTCAGCTAATTCTCGGGTATATTTCCTTCCTCTTCCGTGGGTAAATTTAGTTTGAAAAAAGAATATACTATGTATATAAAAGGAAACAAAAAGATACTAACCCAAAAACCCCTAAATCTTCAACCCTACCACATATTAAATAAAATAATAAAAGAAAAATTAAGTTAAGGAAAATAAAATTTAATGATGATATACGTATATTAATTGTTATGATAATTAAGCATGCTTTCAAGTTTTGTGTTATTTTCTTTGGGCAGGCCAAGAATTTCTTATTTTTAAAGAATATATGGTAAAAAAAAAAAAATAGTAGAAACGAAAATTTACAGTTTTAAATGTATTATATATGGGTTAGGCTTTTATAACCCTAGTTAATAAATTTGCGAATTATACGCCCACCCGTATAATTCGCATATTATTCGCGAATAGCCGTATTTTATAAACTCAGCCGTATTGTTCGGGAATTATTCCCGTATCCAAATTTTCTCTGAATTTTTGCTGAATTTTCATAAACGTATTTTTTACAATTTTCCGTATCATACCCGTAAAATTCCCGTACCATTTTTTTGCCGTACCTGTTTATTTGAAATGTTATATAGATTTTAACCAAGTGGCCCATGAAAAGTGCTAAAACTAGGATTGATATTGCCGTATTTTTCAAAACGTATTATTGACAATGTGTTGTATTAAACCCGTATCGTATTTTTTCCGTATCCGAATTTTATGGCCGAATTTTTACAAACGTATTTTTCACCATTTGCCGTATCATACCCGTAAAATTTCTATATCCTTTTTTTGCCGTACCCATATTTACTAACTAGGATTATAACACAAAATTTTGATATAAATTGGTGACACAAATTCTTAACCCTTGATTCAATGTAAACCAACGAACGTAAATGAAAAACTAGAATTAGTTATCTTTAATGCCAATTAAGCAAATTTTAATTTATTGGATTATCATAAATCAATGGTCATGAATTTATGTCAAAATTTTGTGTTACAATAACTTGATGCATTATATATTTTTATTGGACAAATAAAGTTTTTAGATAAAATAGAAGTTTTCAATGGGTGTGAAAAATTAGAGTTAGTATTTACTTATACATTAATATAAAGTTTATTGTAAGTTGTTCATTAAATCTTGATAGTTTTATTGTTAATTATTTGAAATCCTTCAAATGGGTTGTATTAGTTAAAGATACAACAGCCCTTCAATTGCAGTGAATTCAAGCCACATATTATTGATTGTGATTTGTGACTTATAGAAGGAAAAGATAAAGATAAAGAAAAAGAAGAAGAAGAGAAGACATCAATATTTGTGATTGGTGTTTGAAGGTTTAAGGTTTTTCACTCCACTAAGACTTCTACATGTTTTTCATCTATAAGTTAGATTTTGTCTTCTTGTAAACAAGAGCTTTCGGGAATTATTTAAACTTCGACTGTATCTGAATTATATATAAATATTTAAACCACAAATTTCGGTGACATTTGCAGGCAAATATATGCATGATGAGAAGAAATTAAACTTTTGAGAGTGATGATTATAATTGTTGTTTTGCATGCACTGCATGTGGGATTATAAGATTGGATGATTGACGATTGATCTGAATTATTTGGTAGGCAAGCGACATGACTATGAATCAGAAATAGACACCACCATCTGTGGTGGTCACCTTGTCACCTTTTTATTCTCAATTCTCTATTATCATGCATGCACTTGCCTCAATTTCTAGTAGACACAATTTCAAGATTATAATCAACTAATTACAATTTGGCTTCATTATGTGTCACTCCTGGATTGAAGTTATATCCATATTGCTTTCATTAGAAGGGTCTAATCCATCTTTAGTGAACATAATGGCTCAATTATCTATCTCTCTAGGCAAGATTTTTTTTTTTTTTATAACCGCGGTATTCAGACTAATTTACGTGTACCTCAACTAATTCTCGTGATCCATTGAATACCATACAAGTCCAATGTTTCAAGTAAGCTACAAATGTGGTAAGTGGCCCAAAGTGGTTTGAATCCAAGAAGTCAATCAAAATAATAAATCTTCTTGACCACCAAAGTAACAACTTGGGGCTTCTGGGCAAGATTTAGACAATGCCAATTTAAGTTGCTTCTGGCCGAAATATTTCATGGGGCCACTAGACCCTGAAACTGTTTGCGCTTAATTTAGGACATAAGATCTTCAATGATTTTCCTGTAAATCTCTCCAATTCAGGGACGACTCCTGCTTCCATAGATTCATGCTTCCAAAATACAAGTATTAGGCTTTTGGTTTTCCAGGACTATTTAGTTTCAGCCTGGTTTAGTTTACTGATGTTCCCATCCTGATAGAGTCATATTTTCTAGGCGTATAATAATTTAACTTACAAAAGCATTGATAGACAGATCAAGCAAAGTACCTAATTAAGGACTTACTACAAGAATCTAGCTAAAATTATAAGAAAACTAAACTTAATGAATTGCATTTAGCTTCGGGAAAGCTTTGAACCACGACCAGGAGTCACCAAGAAGAACATCGATCACAGAACTTGAGTATGCATGCCTGACCCTTATGAGTGTTTTCACTTCGCAACAATTATAGTACTGTCACATCCCACTTGTTAGTGAATGAGCTTGAATTCACTTTATAAGATTGGATTCCCCCAAAACCAAGTCTGACGCATTTTGAGTGGATGCTTGAAACCCGAAAACAAATCTTTGTTGGCTTGGTTTTAGAGCTGATAATTTTTACTTGATCGGGTTCATTATCCGATGGGTATGTGTGAGTGAATACATGAAACTCAAAAACAAATCAGCTTACGATGGATGTGAGTAAATGCGTGAATGCCCAAAAACAGATCTTTATTAGATGAAGGTTCATGTGATTTGGCAGAAAAAGTAGCAACCACATTTGCTGTGTTAAAAAGACGACTAAATGATTGATGCTGAGCAGCAATATGATGGCGATAGCTACAGCTAGGGCCTGAAGGGTTGGTTGCAATCTCAATTAGGCTTCCTCTCATGGGAGCCACAAAAGAATTTTCACCCTGGGCTTCCCACATATATATGTTCTATAGAATTTAACTCACTAGATTGCAGGCTCAGTTGCTTAAAGAGTTGGCCAAGAAAACTGCATATTCTGAGAATGGTAGTTGGTTTTCATTGTATTTGTATTTAAATTAGAAAATTTAATAAATTCTTTTACTAAAATGCCAATTTCCGATTACACAACTGATATAAATTAACAGATTAATCCAGGTCAGTATAATATATAAGTAAAAGCATTTCCTTCAAGAAATTTGTGCGTCTAATAACTTGCTGCTTGAAATAACAAACTATCATAATCATATATTTGATTGATTCTAACACTAACAGTTAATATTATTTACATTATGTATCACTGTAGTGGGGAAGAATTAATAAAATCAGCCCAACATGAAATCAGAGGTTGTCCAGTTCTAGCCCTTGAGTGGCATAAGCTTCTTTGTTCTTAAAGATACTCCCAGCAGCACGAGTAAATATATTTCCTTTATGAATGGGGTTATAAATTATTGGTTTTATAATTTATTCTCTTCTTAATCAAATCTTATTTTTATTTGGCGACGAAGGTATATGCTGCATATCGATGCATTCGAAAACGATCACAATGAAAGTATATTTGCACAAAAGATAAGTAAACTGCCTTCATTACTGGCACTGCTTTAATAATCTTAGCTACACGTTAAGGATTGAATAAAAAGCTAAGCTGTTTTGAGGCTGACAACGGTACCAAAAGAACAGCCATCTTTTACTGTAATGTCCACAAAGAGATACTGGAACTCATTGGGAAAACATGATGCGCACATCCAAAATCACACCGATGGGAAGAACTTATTGAGATTGAACGGCAGAGAATAGAATTCCTCACTTCTTGTATCTGTCTTGAATGACCGGAACCTATCCCACCAATGCATCCCACGATCCTTTCTAGTCGCATTGTCTTTCCCATGCAGTGTGACGTCAAGGAACATTGCCAAAAAGCCAGCAACAAATGGTTCAGATGAAAAAGGCACATTGATCATGTCATTGAACTGCAAAAGAGGAAGAACTATATGAAGAGCGATGGACCATAATCTAGCTTCCAGATTAGAAAAGAAAGAAACATAATTGGTTACCCATCTTGCTCCGGTATGGACTGGACCATAACCATTAACTGCAGTGTACTCATTGAAGTACTGTGGTATCGATAAGCCCATGAAAAACGAGAAACCTAATATAAACTTTGTCCTGAAGCTGTTCAAATTGCAGAACTGGAGGAAACTGAGACCCGCTGAACCTGTTCACGAGTAATTAAAGAATATTGTAAAAGTTACTTTAACCTTTAATAGATTAGCGATATTAAAGATGTTCCAGTAAATTGACTAGACGTACCCACATAGAAGAAGAACAGGCAATATAGACCTGCAACAATTGGAGCAGGAATTGAAGCAAAAACAGCTCCAAATTTTCCTGGCCAAGGATGTGTGTCAGATTTATATACTTCAATGAGACACAATTTGGGACATAAATTACTAACCAAGAATGGAGAAGAAGATCATAAATCCTGCAGATATCTGAACAACCCTCCGACTACCAACACAGGTCAATGCCAACAAACCAGCATTCTCACTGCAGAAAAACCAAGAAAGGTTCTCAGGCCATTCAATATGATTTAAAAAAAAAAAAAAAAAAATTGCCGAGAGATGGATAAGTTCAAATGATTTCACACAATCTTACACAGATACTGATGCTCCATTCCCAGTTCCAAATATCCCAGAGAAGAGAATGCCAACTCCCTGAAGTCAGAAAAAGTAAGAATAAACGAAATAATTAGAGAGAGAAAATTTTTACAGCCAGCAGGAAGTGAACAAGACTATCACAGTTAAGAGAAGTTGAAGCACTTTGGGCAAGGAAATCTATTGACATACTAGAGGCCAGCTATAACACTTTATACAAAGATGCTAGCTATTCACCAGTTTTGGTTGAAATTGGTTATTAAATATGTCATGGGATTTTAACACCAAGATAAATGCAAAAGCACAAGGTAAGCTATCTTAAACCTGTTTACCTGCCAACCAACACCACGGCTAAGAATAGAAGGTGGCAGTGGAGTAGCACTTGCATACCTCGATACAGCATAGAAAGCACCAGTGGACTGATCACAAAAAGCAGTATAGTGTTTCAGTTAAAAAAGATCACAAATCTAAATAATTTTCCAATCTTCAAACACCATTATATGCACCAACTTTCCATAACATTTTTATAATAGCTATTAAGGGGGATAGTAGACTTTATAAAACTATTATATCCTATATCGAGGTAACCTAGTGCCAATCGCAATTATAAGTATTCAGAAAACAGGAGTACAAAGCGCCTGCTTCACAAGGTTTACAATTTACATACATACCCTGAGTCCAGATTCTATCCCATTACCACCATACTTAGAATCCAAGAGATAGTAATAACCAGATTATCGACAGCACCAAACCAATGTAAATAAATGCACCTCAGAATCATAAGCAGATGGTTAACAAACCTCAACAAGAGCAACAAATGAAGTAGCCATCATTGCAAAAGACTCTCCAGCATCAAAAGTGGGAGCTCCCCATTGAAAAGGATATGGAATTCTTATCCTGCACACAGTGTTTAACAACAAAAATAAGCAGCACTATAAATTGACTGTCTTCTGTTTCTAATATGCAATGGAACACCAAAAACAAAGTATCCAGTCACAAGCTTAGAGTTGATACTAGGAATATTAAAATGATTATACCTATTGAAGCAGCTAAAAATGTATAATTGTTACTCGAATGCCTATCTGGCATTAAAAATAGACCTTATTTTCAGTTAGGAAGGGAAATAATAGGAGCCTTACCATGGAGCAGCACCTATAATTCCAGCACGATCAGTTCTGCAACTTTGTTGTGTTTTAGGACCAGTGTTCTTATATGCACCTCCCACAGTCAGCAGGTGAGCATAAACCCACACAATAGAAACAGAAAATATAACAGCAAAGCGATCAAACACATGGCCTTTTCCATGTATCATATGAGGTATATACTGCAAGTTGGAGGTCAAAAATTAACATTCTACTGACTATAGAAACAAAACACAAAACTTCTGCAATACAAATTAATCATCACCTGTGAAAAAATTACAAGAAAGATGATCTGTGGCAAACCAATCTCCACACATTTTGCAACCTACAAATGCAGAAACATCATCACTAAAATATAGTAACGGAAGAAGATACAATTACAATGAGAAAGAGAAGCCACGTAGTTGGATCAGTTTAATAGAATTCCTTTATCCTAAAAGGAAGACATTGATGCATACCGCAGGAAATCCAAATTCATAGAGCCCAAAGCCAGACAAAGCAACCAAAGGAACAGCAGCCAGAGGACTTAAGAACCTGGACAAGTATAACAAAACATATAAGGTGACTAAGATACGTTTAAGTCTTTAAGAAGGATTAAAATCAACATAACCATGAATGAAATTCGTATCTCTGATTTTGATAGGTTTTTGGACTAAACTTGGAAATGGTTGCATAAATCAATCAATTCAGTATGACAGGAAGAATTACTGTCACCTGATTTGAAATTTGAACCAGAGAAGCATAGCATAAAAATAAATTAGATCCCAGAAAATAGTTGCTAATTAAATATTGTTCATTCATATCATAAACAAGAAAAGAAAAATCATGTTGGTAAAGAAGGAAAAGAAAAAAAAAAAAAAAAAACTCAATGCAACTGAAAACAAATCAGACATTCAGATCAAACAACAAGATTTCAAGAAACATACCTTGCAACATTACGCCAAAGGCCACTAAAACCTATAACAATCTGGAGAGTTGAGGCAACAATAAGGGCACCCTGAATTCCTCTCATTATCTTCTCAAATTTCTGCACACTCATGAAAGTAGGCAAATCAGGATCATATTTGATATAAAACTCAATCGCAATATAGTTACAAAAAACAATAGTCTTAATGAAGCCACCTCCTGAGGATTCACAATGTCACTATATCGACCTGCCAAGATGATTGAAATGGTTGTTGGCACGTACGTATAAGAGGCTCCAATCACCGCCGGTAAACGAGTACCAAAAAATGTCTGAAACAATGTGTTTAATCCAGCAACAAATAGCAGTGTTTGGATCATTTTCGCCTTCTCCTCCTGATAGAAATGACCATAATTGTGATTAGACAAACATAAACAAAATATTAATAATAATAATGAAGTATTAGTCTTAATTGTAATATTATTGAGAAAGCTTACATTTCCTCCTCCCATCTGAGGAACCAGAGAGGTGGGTATGAGCACAGTTGTGCCTAGCATCACCAGGTAATGTTGAAAACCAAGTAAGATAGCCTCGGCTGCAACACGAAACAACCCCACGACATGCAATTAACAACTTGAGAAACAAATGTGGTTGAAATTTCGTAATAAACATTCAGAAACTTTGAAGCGTTGATCAGTTAACAATATGGGCTCTCACGAAACTTATAAGGATCAAAATAAAGGTACATTCAAGCAAAACAAATGGTCTCCGGGGTAAAAAGATTTAGAGAGTAAATGGCTTTCGTACAAATTACGCATTACTATCATTAAAACTAGTATTAAATAAGACAGTAAATATAAGAAGGGAAAAGTAGGAAAACTTATAAAAGCCAGCTCCGGGCAAAAGTTGATAAACAGAAAATGAATATCAGAATTACAGGACAGTAAAATGCACCACAAAGGTTAGAAAACCAGTAACATGAAAAAATGACAAAGGATTGTATTGCAACAAAAAAATGAATATCATAAATGGAACATTAAATAAACAAAAAATATAAGAATAAATAAGAAAGCTCACGCCATGGCGGAGGACTAGTAATGCAATACGCAATATTTGGCAGCTGATCCTTAGCGGGATGTGGCTGCAGCTCCTCTGGTTTTGGCAGCGGCGCGTGTCCTCCTCCTCCACGTCCGGCCATGTTGTTTTTTTCTCTTTTTCTTCTGTTCTCTCTTAAAGGAAACTTCTTTAACAAATTTTTATAATCTTTAGATAGTACAAGACTCAAATCTCCATACAAAAACCGAGTTTCTCAACAGCCAGTGACAAAAAAAAATATTAACGTTAGAGTAAAAAATGTCATTTAAACCCAGATGTCTCAATTCCCAAAAAACTACACAAAACTAGCTAGACTAAATCTTGCTCAAATGTATTTCTACTGAAAGTAAAGAGCAGTGCAAAGCACTGGAAGATAAAAAGAAACTGTCAAAGAAAACAATAAAAGCTTGAGCAGCAGAATCAAGAGACAAGCACCACAGTGATAAACTAATCTATTCTTCTCTTGAAAGTTTTCCTCACTCAAAAGATAATGAAATGTAGTGGCCTAATGGGAAGTTTTTTACAGCCAGAGCACCACTTGGGCAGCAAGAAACAGTAAAGAGTCAGTTTGGAGAGGGAAAAAAGCAAAAGAAGAGAACATTAAAGCTAGAAAGAAACCAATATTCCTCTCTGGTGACCAAAAGGAATCTCCTTTGAGCTTTAACTTCAATTCCTTTACATTTTTTTACCTATTTGTTTAAATGGGTCTAAGCTTTTTTTCTTCAATCACGTAAAGATAAAGCTTGTCTAAAAGCATCTCCACCGTCAACTTTACCATTCTTTAATAACTTAATTACGATTAATTATTTTATTTCTGAAACTCTTTAAATTTCTGTGAAATTAAAACATTAAAATTATGTGTATAAAGAAGTGAGAACTCGAACTCAATGTTTCATACTCTCATTAAGGGTGGCGAACTTTGGAGTTTGGAGACAGAGAAAGGAAAGTTAGCCCGCCTCATAACTTTTCGCACTGTCTGGCTGCTTTTAAGCTTTTACTGTGATTATAAACTCAAAAACTGGCAGTTATGACTTGCGTGAATGCAGATAAAAATATTAATGAGCTTTGTTTTATATTGTTGCATGCCTTCTTGGGACTGATTGGCCCTTTTCTTCTCGTATAGTCAAACTTATGACACAATTCCCGCCTGTATTTGTGTCATTTTGCTTCAGGGATTTCATGACACCTGTGTGTTTAGAGTACATGCATCAAATGACAAATATCTATCTCACATTGGGAAATTTTGGAGTTCCCTTAATCTCAAATATCTTCTGTGGCTTGTGCCATGTTACTTGTTGCCTACTCTCTTTGCTACTTGCTCACTTTCTTTTGGGTTTGATTCTTTGCTGTATTATCTTATAACTATATCCAAATTCGTACAAATTGTCTTCTTTTATTTATCTATCTATCGATCAGGAAACTGTAGCCTGGCTAGGCCTTTCCAAACCCAGAAGATTATTGCCTGAAAAATTTCATTATTTTTCACCTTTCTAGCATTCAACACTCAATAAGTAAATTTTCTAAACCCCATGAAAAGGCATTGAAATGGCGTTTACTCCTATTCAAAGATGGTTGATTTGATAAATGATAATGATGGAGAGTCCTAGAAGTGATGGGAGTGATTATATATAATTTAGCAAACATAATAGCGTATCTTTTGATGTGAAATGAGAGGTTGCTTTCAACTGAATTGAGTTTTGTTGTTTTGTTTGGCATGGACTTCATTGCTGATAAGTACTTAACCTCAACTTCCATACATTGCTTGTGCGTTATGGCCCTACCCCTTGAGTCTCTTTAGTCTTTATTCCCTCCCTGAAACGCAGAGGCCCCCACTTAGTAGAAGATTGATGAATGAATAAATTCATTGACCAAACTTCAGCACTAAAGATTTTGAGTGACTTGCCAGCCCCATTTTTTCTACTTTCTCCATGCCAACAAATCAATTTCAAAGCCACATTTTGCCCCTAATTCAATTCAGTGTACATCAATCATTTAGATTTACAAGTGTAAACTTTTAAAGGTCATTTTTCATTATGTGGTCATCATTTATAATACCATCATTTTTCATAATTTTTTTGATAATCCGGGCTAGTTTAACTAATCCTCCGGGACTCTAAAACTACTGACTAGTTAAAAACTCCAATGACTACCTCTATTAACAATCGAGGAAGGACTCGAACTCAAGACCTTTTGAGTGATATGCCCAAGAGTACTTATCAAACAACTTGACCACTTAGAAACTGTTTATAATACTACTATTTTTCATTAATTTTGTCAAAACTTAAATTAGATAAGCCCTTTTGTTTTATAGTGTGGTTCTTTTATTTATTTATTTAATAGTAAGAAAAATTGCAATTTTTTTGGGTTGAAACTAGCCGTTAATACACATCATAAAGATGAAGTAATTTGACAAATGAAAGCTTTGAAATTGTGAAAATGGTGGGTCTCAGCTCTCAACTCTCGGTTTCTGTTTTTATGCAAATTTCAGTGGATAAAGGGCATTCGTTTGCATTCGAATTTTAAATTGGGTGAGCTGCTGGAATAAGATTGAATAATGGCCGGCGATACAAAGAAAGATTTGACATTAGTTTATGAGTTTGCACCGGAAATATAGATGTGTTTTCAGATGAAGATGAGCTTAACCAATCATTCACATGCACAAATAAGTTCACTTCCAATCAATTAGTAAATTGACAATTATACCATCCCATATATTATATTAGCCTTAAATATTTCATTTCCTCCACCCATAGACATAGAGCATTCAAGTTGATGGGTATTATTTGAATTCCAGACATAAATCACATAGTAAGGTCAATGCTAATAAATCAACCACGTTTTTGGGTGTAAGCTAAATAATCACTTTTTGAAGCAGTTAGCAGTAGGCCATTATACTAAGTTCACTTTTCCCCAACAAATCTCATACCAGTCAAGCAAGGCATCTCAAACTAGTTCCAGATAGATAGATTCTAGAAACCTCTCTCCAAATTAAGCCTTCCACCCCAAAATATGGTCAATTTTATTAATATCCCTAAGTTCTAGGCATCAAACTATATTAATTCTTTTTTATCCCAAACCATACTTAACCCACACATATTCTAAAGCCACTTTAATATGAGCTGCTTTCGGTTTACTAGAAGTAATCAACTAGGTTTTGTGGACAACGAATGTTGACTTCAGATTACCCTAAAAAGGTCAAACCAACTATACCAATTCCCACAGTACCACAACAAAAAACCCCATTTCCAGTCTCATGTAAGAAGCTAGGGCTTGAAAAATGGTTGACTATCAAATACTTGATAAGAAGCTTGAGCTTGAAATGGTTAAACATACAAATACTAATCTCAAAAAGAGCAGAAACCTGAATCCAGCACACATGACAAGTTCTCATTTCAACCAACAACCTGCATTTTTAATTTTCCAAGATAAAAAACACAAATTTTCATCCGTAAATTCAAATCAAGTAATCATCACTGGAAAAGTTATCAGGGACAAGCATCAATTAGAAAATGCTGGGCAAGAAAACTGATACGGGATAGGCACTAAAAGATTTCAGCTGAAGGTACCAATGCAACGTCACTCGTGCTTGTAACTAGAATTAAGCACGAGCACCACAAATATTCCTATCAATGTACAAGAACTACTCCAAAATTCAAACAGATTCACCATCAATCCTTTGCGTGTCCAAGGATTGGTTGAGTAGTGATGTTCAATGTCATCAAGGAGATTAAGGTTTGCATACCAGACTTCTATAAGCTTTATGATGTCAGCATGACACAAAAATCCGGCTACTAGGCTAATATTTTTTTTTCTTTATTTTTTTTTTTAAGTTGAAAGGTGGCATTTCCATAATGGTAGATGCAAATGAAACCCAAGTCTCTAATGTTCGTGATGATTAATTTTATTTCTACAGAATAAATATGTAAATTGAAGGTCAAAATGTCGTTCAATGGCTGACCTAACTGATTTGGTAATTTATCAATTGGATGGTTATGATAACCTCATAACAAGTAACAGTGGGCAGACTTATTGACATAAAAATATCTGCAAGCAGCAATAGGCATTTTATCTGACTGTCACCAAGTCAAGGCAGCTAGCCTCCAATTTTGAAGCACACCACAACAAAGCGAGAGGTGTGGTAATGAAAGAATAGCTACAAATTTGATTATAGATCAACACCGAAAATGATCGTTAATGTAAGCATTAGATCATCTTGGCATATTGATAATACTTTTCTTCTCAGATAACATGGTACCTAAGGTCGGGTACAAGCAACATAGGCATCTTAATTTATCAATGTACTCACTTCTCCTAGAACTCACAGCATGAAATGGTGAAATCATCACTGACTGGAAACTCGAGCTTGCAACCTTTTTCTCTCAAATTCAAGCTGAAATAGAAAAATAAATATATGTATATAAGTTTTCCATATCAAACTTCTAACTAAAATGAACCTTTTCTTCCACTTAACAATCTTACCACTTTCTTCACCCGGTCATTGGCTGCAGCAGTTCCTCCACTAACAGATTCAGGTAGATAAGGACTGCTAACACGCACTTCATTCATCACGACAATGACAGTCTTGTCCCAGCGCACTGGAAGCCTGTTTATATATAATTGACATCGATTGTGGAAAAATAGTAAATTATTTGTGTTCTACTCTAAAATGGAATAAAAAAATTGCAACTGAAACTTCAAGGACAAGAACACACTTTGCAATAAAGATCGACCTCTAAAAACTTTAATACAAGAACATTTTCACCCACACAGTTAGGCTAAACCTGAATCTTACAGGATAAAATTTTTGAAGAGGAGAACAGAATTGAACAAGGGTTATCTAACGTAGTTAGTGTGTGTTTGGAAGGAGGAAGAAGTAAAAGGATTTATGAACAGGAAGGAAAAGATGGAAAAAGAGAGATACTTTATGGGAGGAAAGAAAGGAGAAAAAGGAGAAGTGGAGCAAATGCTTTCCGCTTTAGTCCTGTAAAATGGTGGACATGCTTATAAATAGAAAAAATATTATAACTTTAATCCCCAATCTTTCCCTCCCTTCTCTCTGTAATAGATAAATGGAGAGATGGAGAGACTACCTCCCTTCTGCTTATCTTTCCCCTCCTCTCTACCAATATTTTCCCTCAGCTTTTTACTCCTACCAAACGGAGCTTCATAATGTGGAAGTCCAGTGTTTGTGTAGCTTTGAGTTAAAACCACTGATTTAGACACCACTGTAATGAACCATTAATCCGTAAGCCATCGACAGTTTTAAGAGATACATTGATTACCGTCAACTTCAACATACCACCCATGTTAGATGAGCTAGCCATAAATTGAATTGACATTTGATGCAATCGAACTTTGGAAAAATTATATAAAAGCATAGCTTAATCACCGAATTTGATGAACTAGTACACCATCTAGGTTAGTCAAGTCTATACACCATAACCAGATTTCCAATTGCAATAATATCAATATTCAGATACTCAAAATCTGCATAAGCAATGTCCAGTCTATTCTGAAACCCCTCCCCTCCAGCCCTCGACTCTCACCACCAAGTAACACAGACACCTTCACTTTGCTCAACATTAACTGTAAACTCTGATTCAATTTGCCCCAC